CTAACCCTAATGTTCCCTACTTCTACAATCAGGGCTCCCAACTTTTTTGTTGCAATTCTACAGAAGTAAGGCAGGAATTTGAACTCTGAGGCCTGGATTCAAGGGCAGAACAAGGAATGAGAAGAACTGACACAGAAAAACCAGAGTGATAGTTGAGTGCTGAACTGAGACCCAAAGCTGTGACAAAAGAGCAAAGGAGGAGCTCTTAAATCTGGGAGCCGAAGACAAAATTGTATATACATAAACTCTGTAACAGAATCAGGGCAGAATTCCTGTGTCTGAATTCCTTCCACCAGTTCCTGCAACACACTGACATCTTTTCTTCAGCCCACATGAAGAAACAGCTCTTGTGACAAGAAAAAAAGAAAGGAGACATGGGCCTAACCTAGATACAAACTGGCAAATCATATTTTTCCAGATGCCAAAATTACAGGGGTAGAAACAACATTGTCTTCTGCTTCCTCTAGAAGTCTTCAGAATTCAATCAGTCACAGAATCATAGGCCAGGGTTGGAAGGGACCTCAAGGATCATGAAGCTCCAACCCCCTGCCACACGCAGGGCCACCAACCTCCACATTTCATAGCAGCCCAGGCTGCCCAGGGCCCCATCCAACCTGGCCTTGAACACCTCCAGGGATGGACGGGGCATCACAGCCTCTCTGGGCAGCTGTTCCAGCACCTCACCACTCTCATAGGAAAGAACTTCCCCTGACATCCAACCTCAATCTTCCCTCCTTCAACTTAAAACCATTTCCCCTTGTTCTGTTATCTACCCATTCAAAGAACTGACTCCCCTCCTGTTTATAGGATCCCCTGTATATCAAAATCAAGACAGAATCTCAAGTCAACAGTTCTACATCAGCTCACTGGAATATCTAAATGTTGGAAACGCATCTTTCTACAGAACAATCCTGTGTGGCAGAAAAGTAATATTATAGCTAACTTTTGAAACTAATGGCTCACAGAAAGGAACTAACCTTCAAACAAGGCAGAAAGGAACTAACCTTCAAACAAGGCTCGTTCAAAACCAGAGGCATTCTGCAAGAAGGCAGACCAACCGCTTGGCCAAAATTTGAACATCTTCTCACAAGGCTCATCTACGGCACCAGACACAGCACTGTACAACATGCTTTAATGGGATGTCATCACCAGGATTTCTACCACCTCTTCTCCACATGTAAGGAGAACAGTGTTCTTTAGTACGCACTATGGAAACCTACATTCTTCCTCAGGATCTCTCACCAACAGTAACAACTTTCATAAAAGAGCAATTTGTTAGTTCAGAAAACTAAAGCCAAAAATCACCAAGTAACTAAATTTTACCTGTCCCCATTTTTGTGTTCAACAGAGCAATTTTATTTTTTATTTTTACCCCTGTTAGAAAACAGTCTGTGGGAACAGTTCTACTGCAGTTCTGTTGGCACACAGTCTTGGGGAAGACAGATGTTGTATTTGGAGAACAACTCCAAAATAGATAATATAAGAGAATATAAATCATAATAGCAAAAAAGTGGGCTTTTGGCTACAGCCGCTTCCATGTTAGAGTTTTATTTTATTTAGAAGCATTTCAAAAAGAAACAGACATCTTACTCATGCTCTTAAAGTAACAAACCTCTCAAGACTCCATCTAGGGAGATTTGCTCTCGTGTGACACAGAGAAGACCCAGTTTGCGTCCTCAGGGTAAATGCCAACTCTTTGCTACTCAGAGCAGGAGGAGAACACCTCGAGATGCAAGTCCTGATGTGCAGATGCTTGAGGGAGTGTGACCTGACCTAAGAGCATCCAACAAGAGTGGAGGATCCCTTCCAACTCAGGGTGTTTTATGGTTCTATCATTACTGAGGTAGGGGCTGGGTCCTGCTTTTCTGCCCTCCCGTAGAGATTCTTGGAAATCCCCACAAATGAATTCAGTTCAACACATCAGGAAAATAAATAAACCAACCCATCCTTAGATACTTTGTTTTGCCTGGGTTAGCAAGCTATGTTAGCTTAGAGAAGTCTATGATGATTGCTGTCACCAACCCAACGGATGGGCCAAGCCAATTTAGCTAAGAACAGAGGAAAGCGTAAGAGGTGCACAGCGAACAACATTTCTTTTAGTCCCCTTTAGGTTGGGTTAACTACCCATGAAATCATGGATTAACTCATCTGGTTTGTTTTAGAGTAAAACTACGGGCTCAGACAACGTTTAGAAGGTTAAAACGAACAACTGAACAATGGCCACCAGCCATTTACACTACACCTTCTTGTCAGAAGGCAAAGACAGAAAATTAGCTGAAGCTTCTTTCACCAAGGTTTAATTCAAGTGTTTTGAATCACATTCCAGGGAAGCTGGACAGTTAAGGCAGCTTAGCCATATGGTGACTTTCCAAGCCACCATAATGCAATGGCTGTTTTTCAATGTGCTGATTTTGATACCATTCACGTACTCGTTCCTTTCTTCCCATTGTTTTTCATGAATGATAACAAGAACTCAGTCTTTTTTTTCCATCTGCATTACTCACACTGATTTCTTTTCCACTCAGCAGGCTTTTACTTACTCCAAGCCAGCTCTGTCATAGCTGGCAGTTAGATCCATACGCACAGACCTGACAATTCAGGTAAACTTTTAGAGGCAGTGTTGAAACTGCCCAGTTCCATCGAGTTTCAAATGCAACATAAATACCAATGGTCATATCTCACACATTAATTAATCAGTACTGTTCTGATCCTGTGAAGTACACAAAATTACTTCCATTCTATTTATAAAGAAACCAGTGGAGACATATTCACATTGGCTACAGAAGGACTTCATTTCAGATAAATAATTAATTCTGGTGACACCAAAATCAAGCCTCGTGCTCACATAAGGCAAAAAATTCCTCTCAAGTACTCAATCTCATCCAACTGCAGATAAAAATTAAGCAGATAAATGGTAATCGCCTCCTTTGCTCTTCAGGCTGCCCCATGGTTGGGATAACCACTCTACTCTTTAACCATGGCAGCTTTAAGAGATTTATTAATGCAAACCAATCTTACTTTCAAGCTTGTTTTAAAACCCTGGCCTGAAAATGGAATACCTCAGATATGGCTTTATAACCTTCCTCACCTGCCCAGTGAAGTACGGCCAGGCATGCTGTTTATTTTGTAAATAGTTATCACAAACATACACACAAGACGAGTCATGATTTCACAATAAATTACAGGTTGTGGGCTGCCAAACTGCTTTATCATTTTTTTTTAAACTGTTTTTTTTTTTTCCCCCATTTCCCCATGTCCATTTACCTATTCAAAAAGTTATACATGGTTCAGTCCAGAAACTCTGCACCCAACTGGGTCATCTTGGACTGTTTCTCCTGATTTAAAGCTCTCTAACCCTGTCTAAATAGTTTCATCCCAGCTTTCAGCCAGGCAAAAATCATTCATCTATACTTTTTATTGCATTCTCAATGACTGTGTTAACTGTACATACACTGGAATCAATGGAAAAAGTGACTGTTTTTGTGATGAAGGGTGGCAGCTGATTAATATCACACATCAACATGCCACAGTGATCCCAAGAAGCAGCAGAATATGATATCCAACTAAAACTGCACAGAGGCAGGACACGTCTGAAATCTGGCTGAAGCACAGGAAATTAAGACTATATAATTCACTGCTTGGAAATTTATGTTGTAAGTCTGATTCAAAGTTAAGGCTGACAGACTGTCCTTGTGCTCACACAAAGCACAGAAGAACTGTAAGATCAGCCTGCAAACTCTGCATTACCGGCATAATAAAGATGCGCAGGGCAGTGCGGCCGTACCTCCAGATTTCTTCCCTGCTGTGAAGTAGATATTTAAGATTTCAAGTAGTGACTATTTAATACTGATATCCAACATATCTGCAGCTAAAACAAAGAACAGGAAGCGTCTCAGAGTGTCAAAAGGGTAAGAACCACTAGTTTTGAATGGAAGACTGAGACACCAGCAAAGGAAAATAACTACTTAATGGTCGTATCAAGAAGCCTATTTGAAGAATATTGGTAGTTGAATTTCCAACATGTAAGTGCTTCTCTTGTCAGTGCTACTCTTTACTGCCACCCTCTACGCAGTAGTCTGTGCTTGCATTGCCACTTGCATTATGAGTGTCCATGCACTACCTGAATAATCTTCATCCCAGAAATAATCTATCTTGGATTAATCTGACTGTTTTCACACTTCCAACCTGCAATAGACAAGATTTCTCTTTGTAACTCAGACAGAAGGTACAGTTAGAAGCCTAGAGGTCAAAGCACCTCCAGAATGTGTTTGCCACTGGACTTTTGGTCATGTCTACAAGAGGTACAAGGAACACTAATGCAGGACTGCAACTGTGAGAGGGATGCAGGACAGCACAATACAGGACAATCACTCCTTTCAGCCTGACAAGCTTTGAAGTAATTTGCTTATTTATTGAGGAAAACAGAATGGATATCAATTACATTCAAGATTCGTAACAGAAGTCATTTAAAAGAACAAACTAAAAGACTCAAATTCAAACATAAGATTTAGCAGCAGCTGTGGCTTGAACCTGCACATTCACTACCAATGTTAGCTATGCTAGCCTTCTGCCTTTGATATACAGTGCTACTCTTCTGGTGTACTCATCTCCTTTCACCAGGTCTGTAGTGGTGCCAAACACTTACAGCTCTGGTATCCTTCTGCTATGCCATGGGGATGTATGCAGTACTCCAGCTTTTAACAGCACACTTCCTCTGATCGAGGCTGTTTCGAAGCACTTCACGATTTTCTCTCTTTCAGAGACGCTATCAGTCAGACCAAGAGAAGAACTATAAATTCCTGTTTCCTGGTTTAAATAAATTCCTGTTTCCTGGTCTAGCAAATGCCAAACCAGTGGAACTCCCCAGGTTAGCAAACTGTTGATTATCACTGCAATCATTTCTCTGCATTTTTCAGGTAGAACAGAAAAAATACAGCGCTCAAGATATCATCTTTCTGTAGCTGTTGTGTCATTGTTTGGGGTTTTTTGCTTGTACTTACACTACTGGAAAAGTTCTGAGCATACTTTACATGGGGATGGAACGTTATAAAGCCTCTTGGGGGTCTTCAGTGTTATTCACCATTCTGTAAGACACAATTAAAAGATACAAAAACTTCAGACATTTCAATGAAAGGTAAATTCATTCTGATTTCTTGTTGTCTGGCTTACAATTACACAACCAGCTTATAAAGGGCAACATTCTGGTAGTTTTACCAGGCAGTAGCCCCAAACCACGTCATTAAGAAAAATACACAAGCCCCTCCAGGATTCTTCTTGAGCAACCTATCCATCCTCTCTTAAAAAGGAAGGGTATCAATCACCACATGTCATCATGGTTAAGAAAAATGCTGCCTCAAACTACTGCAGTTTTTTCTATCCACTTTCAATTTTTATGTTTCATTGTGTGGACTGCTAAAGCCTCACCCTCTTTCTTCTCTGTGCCTTAAGTGAGCGATGACATGGTTTGCAAAGGACCCATGGTCTTAAAGTCTCAGAAATAATCCTTTGCATCCAAGCACCCCATGGAAGACTTCTGCTATAAATCAATGCTTTAAAGATCTAAACAAGGCCGACCAGCTGAATATTCTCTGTATACCAAACAGATTAAAAACTGCACATGCTGATTCACATTACTCTTCATAATCTGTAACTAATTCAGATCCACATAATCTGTACTAACACAGACACACTTCAACGCAGGTTCCAGGTAGATTCCTAAGGAGAAAGTTGATGTCTGGTAGCGTAATCATTTCACAGACAAAAATTTAAATTATAATTGATTTCTTTTTGCCACAAGTAAATTAATCTGAGCAATCATTTAGCCTTATGACAGTTACCTACCCTTTTAACTCACAAGAGCTATTAAAAGGATTATTTGGCTAACGTCCGCCAAGAGCTTAGAAGACAGGTACTATGTTCTGAAAAGGAATGACCTAATAGAAGTTTCTTCAGCTTGCACTGCTGACGTCTTTCTTCATAAACTCACAAAGTGCTCCAAAAGTCAAACTATTAACCATTAGGAAAGAGGGAGGGAGCATGTTACATCCAGGTGCATGTGGGAAGAACTAGAGAGAATATTTCACTTTGGACTATGGGTGAGCATGAGCTGGAATAGAAAACAAGTGACTTGAGCAGTAAAATGCATTAAATAATTCATTCTGCTCTTCAGTTGTCCATAATATCAGCACCCAAGATTTGTGGATGAACACATGTAGGCTGCTCTCATTGTTAAGCATGGTCCAGATGCTACAGCATGGCTCTTCCCCTACAGCACCACAGGGTTTGCTAATGGCTTTGGGGAAGATCTGCACCTATTGCAGACAGAGTTCACTGTGCACATACAGACTGTACCAGGCTTGCTAGGTTATTTACAGGGCTTTTTTCTTTGCTTGTGAAAAGCTTTGGAACTCTCAGGACTAGGCCACACAGACTTCTCCAGAAGTAGCAGCTGGCAGCTTCTGGACACCAGCTTTCACTGGGGGTTTACAGCTCACCCATGGGAAAGGAAAGACTGAGTGTCTGGGGGGAAGGGAGCTGCTGAGAGATAGCTGCTGCCATTTCAACAATTCACAGAATCTCAGGGAGTGGAAGGGACCTTAAAAATAATCAAGTCCAACTCCTTTGCTAAAGAACTTCCCCACAATAGGTCACACAGTTTGGCATCCAGATGGATCTTGACTATCTCCACAGAACCAGACTCCACCACCACTCTGGGCAGCCTGTGCCAGTGCTCCATCACTCTTATAGTCAAGCAGTTCTTCTGCATGTTAGAATGGAACTCCCTATATTCAAGTTTTAGGCCATTGCTCCTTATCATATCATTGTGCACCAATGAGAAGAGCTTGGCCTCATCCATTTGCCTTCCACCTCCCTTTAGATATTTACACTGATCAGATCCCCCTCTCAGTCTTCTTTTCCCCAAGCTGAACAGACCCAGGTCACTCAGCCTTTCCTCATACGGAGATGCTCCAGGCCCTTCACCATCTTTGTGACCCTGAACTGGACTTCTTCTAGGAGATCCCTGTCTTTTTTTCAACTGGAGAGCCCAGAACTGGATGCAGTAGTGGCCTCACCAGGACAGAGTAGAGAGGAAGGATCACCTCCCTCAGCCTACTGACCACGCTCTTCTTAATGCACCCCAGGATACCATTGGCCTTCCTGGCCACAAGGGCACACTGCTGGCTCATGGTCAACCTGTTGGCAACCAGAACACCCAGATCCTTCTCTGTAGAGCTCCTCCCCAGCAGGTCATCCCCCAGCCTGTACTGGTGCATGTGCTTATTCCTCCACTGGTGCAAGACTCTACATTTGCTCTTGTTAAACCTCATCAGGCTCCTCCCTGCCCAACTCTCCAGTCTGCCCAGGCCTTGTTGAATGGCAGCACAGCCTTCAGGTGTGTCAGTCAATCCTTCCAGCTTTGTATCATCAGCAAACTTGCTAAGGGTAGACTCTGTCCCTTCATCCAGGTTGTTGATGAAGATGCTGAACAAAATCAGATCCAGCACTGACCCCTGGGGAACACCAAGAGTTACAGCCTCCAACCATATTCTGCACTGCTGATGACCACCTTCTGAGCTCTGCCAGTCAGCCAGTTCTCAGCTCACCTCACCAACCACTGATCTATCTCACATTTTCTGAGTTTCGTAACAAAGATATTGTGAGGGGTGATGCTAAATGTCTTACTGAAGTCAAGGTACACAACATCCGCTGCTTTTCTCCCCATTTACCCAGCTGGTAATGATATCATAAAAGGCCACCAGGTTGGTCAAGCATGAGTTCCTCAGAAAATTGGCTGTCCTGAAGTTCAGGGCAGCAATTCTACTTACTGCTTTGCACACAAGATCTTGGACTTCACCGTCTTGTTATCACTGGATCCTAAGCTTCCCCCAGTCATCACATTCCTGACCAGCCCTTCCTTGTTAGTAAAAACAAGATCAAGTAGCACAACCCTCCTCATTGGTTTCTCCACCATCTGCATCAGAATGATATCATCAGTGTGCTGCAGGAACCACCTGGATCTTGTGTGCCTGGCTGTGTTGCTTATCCAACAAATATCACGATGATTGAAGTCCCCAACAAGAACCAGTGCAGAGGACAGCAAGGCTGCTTCCAGCTGTTTGTAGACAGCCTCATCCACTTCGTCCTCCTGGTCAGGTGGCTTGCAGTACTCACCCACAACAGTGTGTCCTATATTAGCACCCCCCTTAAGTCTTACCTACAAGGTCTCCTCTTGTTCAAGATTCACCCCAAGCAAAACTTAATACATTCCAGTTGCTCTCTCACATAAAGAGCAACTTCGCCACCTCGTCTCTCCAGCCTGTCTTTGCTAAAGAGGACACGGCCATCCATGACAGCATTCCAGTCGTGTGAGCTGTCCCACCATGTCTGTGTGATTGCAATGAGATCATGGCCCCGTGACTGCATGCAGATCTCTAGTTCTTCCTGTTTATTTCCCATGCTGCATGCGTTGCTATAAAGCACTTTACGGAAGCACAGAGTGCAGGTATCTCTAGAGAATGCAGGAAGGTTTAAGCCAGGTTATTGGCAATGTTTTCCTCTCTGAGAAGTCCTCACAAGATCCAATTAGACAGCTGAGAGGCTTTTCTCCACAGATTACTAAAAAGGCAGCATTACCAGGCCCTTCTCTGTCACAAGAAGCTCCATCCCCTTCCCCTGCTGAATCTAGTTTAAAGCTCCAGTAATCAATCCAGCCTGCCTGCTTCCCAGAACACTTCTGCCCCATCTGCTCAGTCGCATTCCATCCGATGCCCACACACCTGGTCCCTCCATGTCCTGTGATCACAGTACCTAAAACCTCGATCCTGACTCCATCAACCAGTAAAGTACCTGATTTATCCTCCTCCTCCTTTCCAGAACCCAGCCACCAGTTAGGAGGACAACATACATGCGCTCCCAGTCCCTTTAGCATTTTTCCAAGGTATGCAAAGTCCCTTTTAATACTACTTTGTTTCCCCACTGCAGCCTCCCATAGCCCTGCTTGAATGCCAACAAGCAGATGGCAGTCACCTTGCTTTATCAGATGTGGTAGAGACTTCTTAACATCTCTGACATGTGCCCCTGGAAGACAGCAAACCTCTCTGAAGATGTTCACTGGGTGGCCAATGAAGCCCTCAGTGCCTCTCAGAAAAGAGTCCCCAGTTATTAAGAGTCTTCACCCCTTTTTTTTGGTGGCAACTGCAATTCCTTTGGCCCACATCCAGGTTTTGAGTTGCCTTGTTTCTCGTCCATAACAGGAGGACACCAAGAGCAATATCAGACACAATGGACAATTCCAGCAGACCACAGCTCATGCTGTGTGCGTGGCCTAGGAAAGAAACCATGTTACTGGAGAGCTGATGGATGGAAAAGACAAACCGGCAGCTCCCTGAAGTCAGCCATCCCCAAACCTTTCAAGATAGTTCTACACCACTAGACACTTCTCCATTAAATCTCTCAGCAGTTTTTAAAGCGTTTTCTGTGAAGCAGTCACAGAAAAATATGAGATCATGCAGTTGACTTATTGCCAAATTTTGAGTTTAATAGAGAGAACTGTTTTGTTTTCCAAAGAGGAAGAAATTAAATTTAAATAGATGCAAACTTTCTGAAGGTCGGAGAGGCTAACGGTGGATAACTGAATTCCTCAGAGAAAGACTCGCTTTGAGGGTGAGAAGTGTGGAAGAACCAAAGGAAAAAAAGCTCACAGAGGAAAAAAAGATCACTTTCCATCATCATGAAACACAGAATTAAAACTGGAACACGACAGAGCCAAAGAAAAGGCTGCAGTAATTCAGGTGTGAGATGACAAAGGCAGGACAATGATTTTAGTGATACTAATGGAAGAGGAAAAAAAAAAAAGGTGCAGGCTTCAGATGTTATAAAATAAATGAAGAGCTTTTATGCAGCCCAGATTTGGGATGTGAATAGAGGAGGGAGAAGGAACTTATCCAAGATGCTCCAAATCTCCAAGTGCAGATAAAAGGTACGATAGAGCAGAAATAAACAAGAGAGAATTTGCAAGTAAATAAGAGAAATTCTCAATTTTTGCTTTGTTTGGGGCAGCAGTGCTACAGTGTGGCTGCAATCA